TTATTCTTGTTTAAAGTTTCAAAAAAATTTACTTAGAAAAAATATGGTGCGTTTCTACTGACTCACCCCCATATATCTAAAGTTGCCATCTATCTAAAGTTGCAACTTTAGATATATAAAGTTGAAATTACATATAATGGTTAGGTGCTATTAATACAATTGATAATGATAATTAATTGAGAAATTTTTGAATTCCGGAGTAGCCATCCGAACCGATATCTGGAGCGCAACCTTATCATTATTGTTATTAAATTAAAAATTATTTTTGCAATATAGCATTCTAGCTGTAAAGCCTCTAAACCTTAAATAATTTGATACAAGTATATTTCTATTTCTATATCGTGCATATGATAAGTGTCGCAAAAAGAAAGTGTGATCAATCAAGATAAGCAAACTTTACAAATAATATATACGAAAGTTTTATTTTTCTTAATTATTTCACGCCGCAGGTTGCCAAAGAGGACAGCTTGAAATCAGAAACGTTGACATATATACTGAGGAGGCTTTAGATGATAACAACTATGGCACATATTAAATGATGCTCAATACTATAATTATATATATATATATATATATATCGTATATATATAATTTTATATCACATTTTACTTACGTGTCTGTTTTTTGCTCTAGTCATACTGGGGATAGTCTATATAAACATGAGCAGAGCAAAGTGGAGATAGTTAGAAATGATAAATTTCTATAAAGGACATAAAAAATAATTAGGTGCTAATTACCTATTTCAAAGATTTCTGTTATAATATCATAAATATGATACAATTATTAATTTTAAAAAATTATAAAGCATTGTAAATATATGTATATTTATGATTAAACCTTTAGTGGAATTTAAATTTATAATAGTAGTTCCATATAAATAGCATTCAATTAAAAATTAAAAGCGAATGTCTTTTTTGTAGAAACCAAAGAATGATGACCCCCTCAGAATCAGATATTCAAAAACAAATCGGATCTGTTGGATCTAGTAGAATTCATGAACCACTACCACCGAAATCTACATTAGTAGATCCAAATTATATCGAGATATTCCTCCAACCGAAGTTCTCATCAAAAATGTTGATTATGATATAGATAATATTGGTACTACTAAAGAGGATAATATTAAAGAAATTGAGACTAAAAGTGATCATGAAGGAAAAAGTGATACTGGAGGTGTTAATCATAGTGATATTAAAGTAGACGATGAGTTAAAAGTTCCAAGTCATATAGTTGATGCCGCGATTACAGTTTCCAAAGACGGAACTACTATAATCGCAGAAACTGCTCATGTTATAAAGGTCAAGAGTAATTTCCCAGAAGTTAATATGCCAATAGAAAACAGATTAAGACATGTTGGAATTGGTGAAAATCCTGGTATGTTGTTTACTCTTCTTTTTTAAAATCTTGCTCATATAATTTCCTGGATTCACCTTATTAATTATAATAGGAATGGGAGATCGAATCCAAGCTTACGTTGATCATTCTCAACTAAAAACTCGTGCAGGTCTAGTTCCCAAAGATATTAAGAGTCCAAATCTTTATCAAGATCTCAATCCAGACAAACCTGTTTAATTTCAAATAATATTTTGTACATATAGTTTTTCGAGATTTAGATTTTTATTTTTTTTTATTCGTTAGCAAAATGTATGCATATTTTTATTGCTAGCAGAAAGACTTTAAATCATATAACATGTGAACGATTTATTAATGTGATTTAAGGTTTTATATTTGAAAACAAATAAATCTGAAATCTATATATATTAATTAAAACTATTATAAAATGCGTACTAAATCTATAGCAAAATTGTGGGTGTAACATTTTTAGAAAATTTGAATATTACAGAAAATATTTAACATGTGCAATTCTGGTTAATTTATCTTGAGAAGAGCTGATATATTTAACACCTATACATCACACTGGTTATAGCGACATCTGGCTATAGTGACATTTTTTCATTTCTTGAAACTATATAGTGTGAAAAAGGTTAAATCAGTTTCTGGATATATCAGACAATTTCTTTATTTTTTGGAGAGTTTCGATATAACCATAGCGACACGTATTCCTATATATACTTCGGCAAGTTCTGATACATTTATAATTTCTGAAACTAACTAAACCTAATATCTATTAGTTAAATAATGTGAAACCATGATTTTCCAGGACAGTACTTAGAAACAGTGCAAATTACTTGATAATATTTAAATACAACCAATTACATGAATCTACCCTGTAATTTTAACCAATCGAATTTAAATCCACTTTTTATAAATTTTAATTATATAACATTACTTCTTTGCCTTTCAAGGCAAAGACTCTATTGGTAATTAGGTTGCTATAATACTGTATTACTTTTTTTTTTTTTTTTTGTCATATTGTCATATTTTCCACTTCTGTGGCTTAATTAAAAATGTTTCTTGTAAAATTTTACTAACAGATGTTATTCTAAACTAACCCTGCTATAGCGTGGTTTTATTAACCCGCAACTTTTTTACTTTATAACACCAGATTTTGGTTAAGAATTACATGCTACCTAAAATGTATTCTATTTTCACCAGTGATTTTTCAAAATTTACCAAGATACCTTTTGTGTAATCAACAAAAAAAGGACCTCTTGCAATTTACTCTAATCTAACTGTCACGACCAATATCGGTTCTTGATTGAATATTGACCGTGACAATAAAAAATAAAATAAAATAAAATAAAAAATACATATATAACGAGAACAATATGAAATTATGAATAATACTGTGACCAGTGTGTGAAATTCAAATTTTAATTTATGTTCTCAAATGAACATTAAATTATTTATAATGTTCTCAAAAAGAATATATTGTTCTTAATAGAGAACATTTTTTTTTAATCATGTTCTTAATTTTAAAAAATTGTTCTCAAATTTATATATTAAAACATATAATGTAAGTTATATTATATGTTTTAACATATAATAATTTGAAACTGAAACTTGACCAGTGCATAATATCTATTGTAATATACTGAGGGTTCTGGTTAGGGCTGTTAAGTAGTCTGACTCAAACCAATAGACTGTCAGTCCTGTCTTTTTTAGGATAGACTGAAAAAACTGTTAGTCCTAATATCAATTATATTAAATTATTGTTATAGGTAAGTATATAAATAAAATATAATCTAATTCTGTAATATTTGATC